CTACTCCGTGGCATGTCTTTTACCGTCCTTGAAACCCGTGACATCGCTGATGACATCATAGACAATTTGGGTCACTGCTGTCAGCAGCATCTGTTGTATTTCTACCAAATGAAATCACTGAGGTTCCCAGAATTTTGTTTTGTTTTGTTTTTTACATTTATTTGAAGCCCAACTGAACGTTCAAGTTTAATGGACTAAATACATTGGAGGTAATTTATCAAAACCAAAGCAGTTGCCCATAGCAACCGATCAACTTCTCAAAGGTTCACTAAACAGTAAAGGGAAGCTGATTGGTTACTGCCCCGCATTGGCTGCCCTGGTTTTTGGCAAATTCTCCACGTTGCATTTACATCAAAAGAAAAGGTGTGCAAAAAAAACCCCCAGAGCCACAGCCTGAGTAGAGAAGCCTCCCCCCTGCCAGCATGCTGCAGAGGGACCATCACTTTCTCTGTGACGAAGCAGTGGTCTTTCTGCTGAGGTCAGACACACACCCCTGATGAGTCACAGCTAGAACATTGCATGTTGCAGAGGGACCCTTGCCTTCTCTGTGTGGAAGCAGTGGTCAGACACACCCCCTGATGAATCGGAGCATTGCATGTTGCAGAGGGACCCTTGCTTTCTCTGTGTGGAAGCAAGGGTCTCACTGCAGAGGTCAGACATAATTGCATTACTCTTGCCTTCTCTGTGTGAAAGCGGTGCTCTCTCTGCAGAGGTTAGACACACCCCCTGATGAGTCACACCGTTGCATGTTCCTGCAAGTTGGAGGACTCATCCAGGGGTGTATTAGACCTCTGCAGAGAGACCACTGCTTCCACAAGGCTCCTCCTCTGGCAGGGGCCAGGCTTGTCTACTCGGGCTGAAGCTGCTTTGTTACAACATTTGTACCTCTTCTGTCGGATGCTCGGGGAATGTATTGAGCTGATTTTCTGTCGGATCTCAGTTGGTCTTCAATGTTCACATTATTTCTTACATTTGGCCCGAGGCTTTCCTTCATATCACGGGCTGAATACGCCCCCTCTGCCCCTGCGGCCA